GATGCCATCTTTGCCTTTTTGCAAACTCTGTCCCTCTCTCTCTTTCTTTCATTGGGCGTGGGGGACTGTTGAGGTTCCCCGGCCTGGTGGCCCCCCATATGTTATGGGGCATTGGGAGGACGTGAAAGCTTTTGGCCTTTCTCTCTCTCTCTCTCTCTCTCACCCTCACTCTCTCTCTCTCTCTGTCTCTCGCTCGCTCTTTCTCTTGTCTATCGCAAGGGTGAGAGCTCTTTCTTTTTGATCTTCCTTCCTTCCGTTGTTTTCAGGTCCGCGCAAACGGACGCCACTTGCTGAACATGTGGGGTGGGGCGGGGGCGCATGTAGACTTAAATGCATATGTGTGTGTGTGTATGTATGTAAAAAAACAGTACACGGTAGTACACATATGTTTGCTTATGTCTGTATACGCATATGCACCCATGCATGTGTGTGTGCGTGTGTAGACATGCGGGCATGATTGCCTGCAAACATGCATGAACATGTTGTCGAAAGGGTGGCTATAAGTTGCTCGTTTGAGTGGGCGACTTGGCGGTGGGCATTTCAGCTGGGTGGGTGAGTGGTCGGCGGAAAAGTAAGTGTTGAAGGCGAATAATATGCACACGAGCGCAAACGTGTGTTTTGTTGGATCTGAATGTCAGGTTGTGCTCTTGCTGCGCATCTTACCAGATGGGGGCAGGTTGAAAAGAGAATGCGTCCCTGCACGTCTTGAACTTTTATTTCCTGACAATAGCGACAGCTCCGGCGAAGCCTGCGTCCGTCCCTCTGCCAAAGGGATTGCCCCACAGCCCGACGGCTTTCGGCAGGCCCTCTGGGGACCGATCGACACTTGGTCGTCGTAAACTGTTCCGGTCACCAGGAGGTTAGTATAGAACTGCTCTGGCATAGTAGCTCCGCCCTCAACGCCGACATACTTCCGTCCACGTGGACCTGACTGGTCCGCAGTCCTGAAATTGGATATCATCACGTTTGGATGCGGCCATCGCCGTGAAACATGGTTAAACTTTAAACACATTTGGAAAATAACGACTGCTTTGAACAACACTGGGTTTGGGGAACCGTGCTGGCTTGATTTTTGTGCTCACTCAGCTGCTTGATCGAGTCTTAACCGGTCCATGCAGTCGAGTGAAACGCTGAACCGCCTTCTCATAAGCAGGCGGAGCTGTTGACAGCCTTTATCCCATTTTCAGACCGGACGTGAGCCCATGAATCAAGGCTCAGCTCATCCTTAAAAATGCTCTTCCACGTATCCGCCACGAAGAGCAAACGACGCCACCACCTCGCAGTCCCTTGGCTGACCACGAAGGGCCTGGACTAAGAAATCTGGGATCGCTTGGTTGCGTGCGAAGTCTGATGCGGACCACCCCTGCCTGTTGCGGAGGTCCGACCGTGCCCCGGCTGCAACGAGGATCGCAGCACACTCATAATGGCCAGACAGGACAGCTGCCATGAGCGGAGTCGAGCCCTGCATGTGGTAGCACAAAGTTGTAAGCGGCGTGACCCGGCCCAACCTGTGCAAAAGCCCGTGCCAGCTCACAATCAAGCCAAAGGGACTCATCGTCTTGACTTCTTTTTGATCATTGACGTCTGCCCTGAGGTCAATCAGACCCTGGATAATATGCGCACTGCCTTGGAAAACAGATGCGGCATGGATGGACTCTGCAAGGGTAGAGGCTGCTAGCGCCTGACCGCTTGCTTCCGCGAGGATCTCTTCGAAAGCCCGTGCCGAGTCAAACATGCAGGCAATGCTGATGGCGGAAGTGCCCAGGGGATCCTTGCCAAGTGGGTCGCAGCGATTCTGGCATAGCAACCGAATGCCTTCGGCGTTGTCTCCCAAAGATGCCGAGACGAGCTCCCATCGGCCGTCTGCCGCAGCTTTGGCTGCAAGCAGAAGCCGGGCTGCCTCGTTGTTCCTGTGGCGAAGGCACAGATCCAGAGCCCCAATGCCCGCCATCCCTCCGTGGCTGGGGTTACCCTTTTTGGTTAAACGGCAAGGATCGGCATGCAGCTCCAGGAGGCCCTGCATCAACAGGGGCTCGCCACGGAGAGCGGCATAGTGTACCGGCGACCATCCAGCTGCGTCCACGTCGAAAATCGTCTGAAAGCCATTCTGCAACAAGAATTCGGCAACCTCATGAGATGCAGGATCCGGGATTAAAGATAAGTCAGATTGGTCGGCAGGCAGGATTTTGTATAGTGGCTGCACCCTCATCCCGCGCAGCAACACCGGCTGAAGATTCAACAGCACACGATATCCGACCAGGTCCTGGTCCTCAAGCAGCAATCTCAGCTTCATCTGCAGTGATTTCTGCATGATCGGAGCAATCCTCGCTTTGTCTCCAGCTTCAGAAAAGGTCCCCTCGCCTGGAGAACCCCCGGAGAAGCCCATGTGGGAGACCAGCTCGAATTGAGTTGCGCTTTTGATCACGATCCATGAGCTGTCGTGCGAGAGCTGCCTAAAGAGCTTCTCCACGAGGCACCTTACTGTTGGAACCCGATTAAGAATCCTGTCAATCCGAATAGCCCATAAATCATGGGATCACTTTAAGAATCCTCATGCGGATCGTTTTAAGATAAGGTGCCCATATTACTTCGGGAATACCGTTTAGCTTTAGGGCATCAGGGTGTCCATCGACGGCGCCGAAAGTCCAAAGGCTACTTGCTGGACTGTCAAGGGACCATCCCCGTTCGGACCAGGACGATGGTGTGAAGACTTTGCAAAGGCTGGGGTTGTCAATCACGGGGACAAGGACGAAGAAGAACTCACACCTGCCAATGTACCCGGGGATAGAGTCCACGGCCTTGTGAAAATCACAATTCTTCTCCAGCTGTGGGCAGGAGAAGTAATCATACCAGAAGAACAGCGGCTTCGAGTTGAGCGCAGAGGTGCACCTGGCGATTCTGCAAAAAAGACATCGTCCCTGATGTTTTGTCCGCATGTCTAGCTGCCTTGAAAGGGCACCGAAACCTGTCACCCCAACGGCAACCTCCCGGAAGCGTTCAGGAACATCTCGGCGTGAATGTCGTGGTAGATGCGCTTCTGCCTGGACAGGAGGCACCTGCGGCAGTTTGTTGATGTAGCGCCCGCGAATTTGCACAACAGTATGAACTTGGTACAAAGCCCTTTTTAGGACACAGAATTCTGCCGAATATTGCACTTATTTGGGTAGTTGACCCCAAGAACCTACAGGAGAGGGTAAACATGGATGACTTTGTTGACGGGACAGGCCAATGGCTGACTGGTTTACAAGATGTGCAGTCGGTCGTAGCAAACATACATTCAAGGTCCGGCATGTGACATGAGTACATGACTCTCGGCAGTCGAGCAACCACTACCGGAATCGCCAACACTGGGCCAGACCTCCCTTGCTGTCGGAAATCAAGAAATAGGTGTAAAATGGCAGCGAAAAGCAAAGCATGACGTGGATGACAGGATATCAAGGTGGGAGGGAAAGGCGAAATGGATCCTGGGAGACGTATATGTTGTCCCAGGGCGAGGAAAGGCGGTTTCAGATAAGACCCGCGATCTGGTAGAGAATGCACTGGCAGCAAATGCCAAAAAGATGCGAGCAAATCAAACAGCACATCCTTGACTCAACCTTCCCCAAACCCCCCAGGTACCTACTATATAGGGTAATAGAGCCCCTAGGCCCTATATAGTAGGCACCTGGACGGTTAGGGTTCTGTCCCTGAGCCAAAGGCATCTCCAAACGGGGCCCAGGCCTGATAGCGTCCTGCAGGACTGACATCTGTCTGAAGTCTGGGTCGGGGCTGTTCTCCTGGGATGTGGAGCACGGCCCGTGTGGAGTTCCGATTTCAGACAAGCCCTGTGGCTCGGAAGCAACCCAAAAGACTAGTGACTAGAGTCTGACTAGAGATACAGATTCATATGCGGAGATATGGCAGTTTCCAAAAATTAGGGGTACCTTATCTTGGGGTCCTTATAATAAGGATCCTACTATTTAGGGTACTATATTAGGGTCTCCTATTTTCGGAAACCCCCATATACGTGCAAGGCTTTCGCGGCCCAGGCTCTCCCACCCACTGATGGGAGACAAACGCTGCGCTGCCCATGCCCTTCTCGAAGGAGACCAGCTCGCCTCGCTCCTGCAAATGCAAAGGATCATAACATGGCTTCCCTGTTATAACCGTTATTTAGGCCGCGAAGGCATGAGCACGAGGTCTACGTTGCCCATCTGCGCCGCCATGCAGCATGAATGTCCGTGAACCCTAGTTCTCCGTGGCCGTGCCTTGAGTGATTCATGCGGCTCCATCACCGTCATCTGCAAGATCTCTTTCAAAGGCACCGTGTACATTGGGAAAAGAGTGGGCGATGCGTCTTCGCTGCCTGCAGACCGAATTCGCTCGATCTGGGACATAATAACAACAAATGATGTCGGAACATAGAGAGTCGAACAGACACTTTATACTAAACTATGTAATGGTAGGCCATGTTGGACAAGGCTTGTAAAGTCTATTGATCCTGCATTGATGGCATGAAAGGCCTTCGTGGGAAGCAAACAAATCCACCCTGGACGGCCGGACACCGTCTACCCCGAAGTGTTGAAGCTGGAGAGCTTCGAGCGGGGTTGAGTCCGTGGGTCCGTCTAGGTGACTTCTTAGCCACTAGCAGCCAGATGAGGAGACATGCAAACAGCCATGTACGAAAGCATAGAAGTAATATGGTCAATACCATACATATATATATATATATGTATGTTCCCGAAAGCATCGCGAAGGGTTCTTCCGTGCGGAGCCTCGCAGAGAAAATACATAGAGAATACGTGGAGTCAAGTACACTTGACTTTACCACACTTGACTCTACGACACTTAGCTTTACCACACTTGAC